TTGTTGTGGGGTTGGGTACGTCCTGGCTGAGGGCCTGTGAAGGAATGACTCTAGCCTTGGCCTGACCCCAGGCAGACATGGAGTGAAAAAGTCATTGCTCTCAGGAGGTTGTCATATTCTACTTCCTTAGGTTCCAAGAAGGCCCCTGGAATTGCAGGTGAATTTAGATTTCTGAGAAAATTAGTACTGGTCTTTATGCAGAGATCAGGAAGTTTGAAGATTTGAGTTGGAGTTTAAGGTCTTGGCCTCAATTCTCTCATCTGTAGAATGAAGATGGTCTAGCAGTTGACCAATCTACATGACCCCTTTCAGCTTCAGAATTCCCAGCTTGGTTCATGCTCTTTGTCTTTATTATTCCCCCTACTGGGCATGTCTCCTTATGTCTATTCAACATTGGTGCCTAAAGTAGCCATCCAGTGGGAGAATTTCCCTTCCCATCAGTTGCAGGGTCCAAGTGCCAGACCCTGCCTAACAGGTTATATCAAGGTTTCAAAGGTCATAATCAGTCTTGTCTGAAAATGGGACTGTTTTTATCAGATTTTTAGAGAATGAGAAGCTGTGGACCTAATATTGAATCAAAGTAATCCTGAAATCTGTGTGTTTTGCTTCTGAAGATAACCTCTGGTTAATGTTTATTCTTGAGAGTAACTGTATCATGACTCTTAAGCCGAGAAATACAGGGTTATGTATTGATTGACATTAGAAAACTTGAGGGATAAAAATCTTGTTTTAAAGTAGACAACTCCCTGTAACCCGGCTGTTATCCAATTTAAAGTTTATCCTCACTCTTTTCAAGTTGCTCATACTCTGAATCTAAACATGTCCTTAAGAATCAAGAGCATGTTAACTGGAGGAGGTACAGTATTCTCAGGACACAGGCAGGCATTAACTTTTCTATAGTGTCCCATTGCAGATTGCCAATGAATATTTACAAATTCTTCCTGCAATCCAGGCATTTTTCATTTGTTTGTCTTTTGGCTATTTCATGTTGAAGCAATATGTATGACCTTTACAGCACAACTCCTGTCCTGTTTTTAACTCTTTTTATCAGGAGATTCAACTTGAAAACGGTTATCATTTAGCAGAAAGACAAACAGAAAAGCACATTTTTGTAAGCAAAACGTTAATGATTGGAAGAATTGCCCTAATTTCACCATGACAGTGTGTGATTAATCCCCTGGGTCATGTACTTACACTTTAAGTTATTCAGTTTGTTGGTCTTTGATATTCAGAACACTTTCTAACTTAATAGGATATTGATTTTGTTGGATGATGTACTTTGACTCTTTAAACAACATCACTTTTAGGGATGACTAGCCTGCTCAGTAGTACTTTATTTAGAGAACTATTGCATAACATTTCTTACTTTTATGGTTTTCTCAGGGTGAAAGCTGATAAGACATCTTGTGGGAAAAGAGGAAACCATCTCTGATAGTGAAAGTACCTATTCTCTTTCAACATTTCTGACAAGTTTTTTTTTTTTTTTTTGTGGTTTCATTACTGTGAATATTCATTTTCGTTTATTGGGGCAGGACAGGGATTCAAACAGACTTATTTGGACCTAGGGGAAATGCATTTTCTGGGGACAGAACGCACTTGCCCAAATTCCCAGTCCAGTTCTATTGCCAAGTGGAAGATGACACGAACTCAGAATCTCACCTTTTGATTTTTCTTTAAGAGTTAATGATCTCTGATCCTTTAAATCTGTGATTGGAAGGATATTTAAGTGATTACTGACAACATGGATCAGAAGGTGGGAAACCAATCCCCCAGATGCTTCTAAATGATTAGGAGTTCAGTATCTTGTGGTCAGAATTATCCATGTTGTACTGACATTTACTTTTTATTCTGTTGGGGTTTTATAAAATGCCAGCTGGACTCTCTACATGTCTAATTGGACCCTGTTCCTTGATACTTTTTTTGAGGGGGAGTGTTGTTCTTAAATCCAAATGAGAAGCACTTTGGAGACTCCACCCTCCCACTCAAATACCTGAGACTTAGGTCTACAGAAGAGCAGCTACCTCTTCAGATGTAGCTGTAGGGAGTCCTATCTTGACAGAATTACCCTACGGTGAGTAAGAGCAGGGCTGGTGTAAGGCAAATGGCATCCCCCTACACCTCCCTTGCTGGTTAGGGAACATGCATTCCTACTCAGCCTCAGTTCCTAGAGACGTGGGAGGCCCACGGAGAGGAGGCATCAATACCTAGCACATAGTTGACACCAAGTGTTTGCCAGAAAAGCTAGAAAGTCCCAATGATTCTCTTCTTGTGAGATAGCTCTTTAATTCTCAGTTGCAAGAAGGGAAACCTCTTCAGGCAGATGTACACAAATCTCTCCAGACAACAAAGAGGGCAGTGGAGAGGGGACCTTGGAGCTGACAAAGGCATTTCCTGTCTGCGGAGGATCTTGACTTTGGAGTATCCTGTGGTTGCCATGAGGCGGCTGAACACTTTCCTATGTAGCTACTTAAAAAAAAAAAAGTCACTTCCAATTTCAGACTATTTTCCAGATAAAGCCAATGAGGTTGCTACCCACTTAAAAATTTTTTTTGGTTTAATGCATGTTTTCCAAACATTCATTAGATTCCTTTTTAATTTGGAGAGTTTGGTATCATTGAAAAATTTTAAGAATTCAAAAATCTCATCACTCTCCAAAGGCTACTTTTCAGATGAACAGCTACAGAGAAGAGTTAACAGTAAAGTCTCCTCCCCGCCCATTCATAAATACTGGCCGGAAGAGAGATGACCATAACCTTGTGTATGTTTTCCTTTTATGATTTATGCCCTTCCATTCTTCCTCTGCTCTCTACTTTTCATTCTTTTTTAAAAATTCTTTTATTAACTCATAACTATATACATTTATTGGGGTTTTGAAATTTTTTTATTAACACAAACTGTATACATTTATGGGGTACATTCTTCATTCTTTTTATTCATTTCTTTTTTTTTTTTTACTCCTAGGGTTTCTTAGTCTCATTCAGTTTATGTCCCCATCAAGACCAGAAGAAGACAAATCTCAACTCTCTAAATGTCATGATTAGGGCCAAGATTCTGTCCAAATTTATAGAAATTTTCCCATTTCAGCTGAGGTGAGAATCCCATTTGAGGTAGATTTGCTGGAGTCCTAAAACATTGTTCCCATTCTATTAGGGAAAGGTTTTTGTTTTTTTTTACCAAGTTAAGCCATAATAATGACATTAGCAGAAGAATAATAATCCCTGTGTCTCTAGGGTGCAGGCACTTACTTGCACTGGGGTATACGGGAGCTCACAGAGAGAGGTGCTGCAGTAATGGTGGGGAGGGGGTGCTATGTCAGGGTCTGCCAAGGACTCTGTCCAGAGAAAACAAACAGAATGCTCTTCCAGGGAAAGAGTGATCCTGTACACGAGCCTGGCAGTGAAAGAGGGCAAACAATAAATATGACTGGACTCTTAAGAGGTTTTGGATTTCAGAATTTTGGATGAGGGATTGTAGACCTCTCTCTGTATCCAGCATACAGGTCTCTTTGCAGCTTTGTTTTTCCCTCTATCTCAGTGGTTCTCAACCTTCCTAATGCCACCACCCTTTAATACAGTTCCTCATGTTGTGGTGACCCCCAACCATACAATTATTTTCGTTGCTACTTCATAACTGGAATTTTGCTACTGTTATGAATCGTAATGTAAGTATCTGATATGCAGGATGTATTTTCATTGTTCCAAAGGGGTCGCAACCCACAGGTTGAGAACTGCTGCTGTATCTGGCTCTCTCTTCCCCCCAGATAACCTCATGGCTCTTTCCCTCTCCTCAGTCCTGAGCCATCATTTTTACAATTGCAACTCCCTCTTCTCTATTCCTGCTGCAATTTACTTGTCTCTATTTCACTCATTACAATTGGATATGATATTTTCCTGATTTATTGTTTCTCCTCATTGACCTTTAATGTCATGAGGGTAGGGATTTTTGTCTGTTTATTCACTGGTATGTATCTCCAGCCTGACACATAATAGGTGCTCAGAAACTGTGTGTTCAGTGAATGAATGAACATATATTACTTAGTGAGTGCTTACTATGTGCTAAACATTATGTAAATCTTTCACCTGCTTTATTTAATTTAATCTTCACAATGACCCTATGAGATACATAATGTTATTGGGCCCCATATTCCAGACAAGGAAACTGTCTCCAAGAAGTTAAGTCCAAGACCTTAATTACTATACCAGTCAATTCTGTAATGGGAACTTTCTCATTTAATCTGTTGCATCCTTGAGAAGGTATCAAATTAGGACTAATGCTAGCAATAAGAAGAAAGTGGAAGTTTTTTGTTCATCCTAATCTTTTGTTTTAATTCAAGTCTAGCTTTAATCTAGAAGGGATTGCAATATAGGGGTAGGCAATTTTTTGTGTATGTACCACATTATTCTATTACACTAGGAAACTCATTTCTGGGGAAGTGAGCATTATAAAATATACATTATATTTTTCAAATTGTTAAAAAAATTGTCTGCCTCTGGTCCATGTGATTAGGTGTTCCCATTATATAAACTATTTTGTGTCTTTGTATTTATTCTTCGTCTGACCCATTGGCGCATCTTCCACAAGGGACTCTGAATATAACAGTGCAGTGGCCTACTATTGTGTCTCCAGCATCTAGCACTGTGTTTGGCATACAGTAAACTTTTTCTTTTTCTTTTTGAGACAGAGTTTCACCCTGTTGTCCTGGCTAGAGTGTAATGGCAACATCATAGCTCACTGCAACCTCAAACTTCTGTGCTTAAGCAATCCTCCTGCCTCAGCCTCCTGAGGATCTGTGACTATGAGTGTGTGCCACTATGCCCAGCTAATTTTTCTGATTTTTTGATAGAGACAGGGTCTCACTTTTGCTGAGGTTGGTCTTGAACTCCTGACCTCAAGGGATCCTCCCACCTCAGCTTCCCAGAGTGGTAGGAATGTAGGCATGAGCCCCTGCTCCCAACTGGCATATAGTAAGCTTTTAGCAAATACTGTACTTTTTTTTTTCATGTCAGATGGGTGTAATGTGCTGGCGTTGTAACAAGATTTGTGGGAAGCACATCTCACGGATAGTGCATGAAAACCCAATCATCACGCTTATGAACTACAAAAGGATCAGCAAATACTGTACTACAGAATGAAAGTGAAAGCCATGTGCCCTCCTCAAAGCAGAGGAGAGACATTTCCCTGTTTTCCCAAGCCTTGCACTCCTTGGCCACCAGAAACACAGCTTGTCTGGATGACTCCAGGAGCACAGCAGAAAACATAGTGGGTAGGGGCCCCAAGACAGAGGGTTCGTGCCAGCATGAGCCACTGGTGAGGGAAGGAGGACATGTTTAGATCTGTTTAAGCCTAAACAAGCACTAAAAGAAGATGTTCTCCTCCCCCTTTTTACCAACATAAATTTTAAGAGGAAGTGCTTCTGTGGTTTATATTGGCCATCTTTCCCTTCAGACTTGGCAATTTCATTCAATTTCCAGTTCGCACTTCTCAATTTCAATTGAGAACATATACCTAATTTACTGAAAACATACCTAGTTTACTGACAAATGACACCATGTGGGGGTAGAGTGTGATTACTACTATTTTTATCACCATCATCCATTTAGCAAATGGAAGCAGGAAACCCAAATGTTTTAGAATTATTTCTGAAAGTGATTTACGAATTACAAAGAAACAAGTGTAGAAGAAATGTGAAGTGTATTGGCTTCACGTACTGGTTCCAAGTTTTAGCTTTCCTTAGCTGCTCATGGAATCTGCATTACTAAAGACTTTCCATTCATTGTAGATTAGACCAGACTAATTCAATAAATGTGTAAAAAATGGCCCCTGGGCGCAGGCTCAGACATCCAGAGGAAGTGGTTTCTTAGACACCTGCCTCCCGTGTATTGACCTGATGGTACGTAGGTGGAAGAGAGTGAGTTGGTTATGATGATGTTTGGTGCTGTTGAGTAGTTAATTGAAAGTAAAATGTTTAGCTTCACTAAGCAATTACCTGATCTCATTAAGCTCTTTAAAATCACCTAAATACCGTTTTGCCTGAAGCAGCTGCCCCTTGTTTAGATGTTATGTCAGGCATTAAGAAAAACACAATGTTAATGGTGACCAGAGAATTTAAAGCTGGCCTTTTCTGATATATATTGTTACGACTCTTAGCCATTATTTGGTGTTATTCATCTTGTCTAAACATGGGGTACTGAAATAATACAGTTCTACCAAATTGGTTTTTTTTTTTTTGAGACAGAGCCTCAAGCTGTCCCCCTGGGTAGAGTGCAGTGGCATTACAGCTCACAGCCACCTCCAACTCCTGGGCTCAAGAGAGTTTCCTGCCTCCGCCTCCCAAGTAGCTGGGACCACAGGCGCCCACCACAACGCCCAGCTATTTTTTGGTTGCAGCCGTCATTGTTGTTTGGCGGGTCCAGGCTGGGGATTCGAACCCACCACCTTAGGTGTACGTGGCTGGCGCCTTAGCCGGTTGAGCTATAGGCGCCGAGCCAGTTCTACCAAATTGTTAAATTCAAGTATGCATTCAGAAAACATTTATTGAGCACCTACGATGTGGCAGGTACTATGGGAAGCACTGGGGATATAAATTTGAATAAGCCACAGTAGCATGACTTTGAAGACCGGAGAAAACATCCTTGTATTTTCCAAAAAAGATGAGCCTATTTCTATCCCAAGCATAATTATGATTTGCTTGTTCTATATAATTCCATGCTGTATGTTTCCTGAGTTCATCTTTGCAAAAGCTTTTAACCAAACAATCCACAGCAAAATGTTTAACGACTTGCGGACATTCCAAAGTTATAGATCACTGACCGAGGTGGGCCCTGCTTAGAGCATTCCCCCACCCATGCCCTCTTCTCTCTTCATGTGCATCTTGGGCCTCATATGCCCACTTTTCTATCCAACACCTTTGTCAAACACAGTGTGATTCAAATAACAATCCAAGTGTCCTGAACAAATCGCATCATCTGGCATCCCCCATCCAGGCTGTGATCTCTGCCACATCATTTCCTTCCTTTCCCATCAAGCCTGTGCATCTGCACTTCTCGCCTGGTTTCATCCAGGTAGCTCCATTTCTGGCAAGGTCTGTGGTCTGCCCACTGGCTTCTGCCCATTTACTTCTCCAGCCCCACCAGCCCTTACCTTGGGAGAATCACTTTTATTTGTCTTGTCTTTCCTTTTTTTTTTGAGACCCATCTTACTCTGTCACCCTGAGTAGACTGCCATGGTGTCATTGTAGCTCACAGCAGTCTCAGTCTCTTGGGCTCAGCCTCCCGGAGTAGCAGAACTACAGGTACCCGCTAGTTTTTTAATTATTTATTTATTTATGTTTGTGGTTTTTGGCTGGGGCCAGGTTTGAACCCGCCACCTCTGGTATATGGGGCCAGCAATCTACTCCTTTGAGCCACAGATGCCACCCATATTTATTTATTTATTTATTTTTTCTGAGACGGAGTCTTACTATGTCACCCTCAGTAGAGTTCCGTGGCGTAGCAGCTCACAGCTGCCTCAAACTCTTGGGCTTAAGTGATTCCCTTGGCTCAGCCTCCCAAGTAGTGGGGACTACAGGCACCCGCCACAATGTCCCGCTATATTTTTGTTGCAGTTGTCATTGCTGTTTAGCTGGCCCAGGCTAAGGTCAAACCTGCCAGCTTTGGTGCATATGGCTGGCACTATAACCACTATGCTATGGGTGCCGAGCCTAGGTTTCTTATTTTTAGTAGCGGCAGTCTTGCTTTTGCTCAGGCTGGTCTGGAACTCCTGGGCTGAAGCAATCCACCTGCCTCAGCCTCCCAGAGTGTGAGCATCACAGGCATGAGCCACCGCACCTGGCCTCCTTGTCTTGTCTTTTCTCCCCTTTCTCTTTATTTCACTGGGAGCCAAAAAAATCTTTCGAGTACAGTTGAGAAGTTTCAAGTTGGATCAGTAAATACCTGTTCAAAGAAGAGCAAAGCTATAATCCTTGAAATAAAAATTAGGAAAAGTGCTGACAAATACCTTAAAATTTTCAGAGACCCTTCTATCACCAGAGAGTAGTTTCAATTCAATGTTTTCAGTTCTTATGACCAGAATTAAAACTATTTTCTATTATTTGCCTTGTACATGAGGGCTGTTTCAGTTACATAATGACTAAGGGGCTTGGGTGGACTGTACCAGGCCCTGATCTATCTATTATCTATCTAAAAATCACATTATTGGCTGGGCACAGTGGCTCACCTGTAATATTAGCACTCTGGGAGGCCCAGGTGGGTGGATTGCCTGAACTCAGGAGTTCGAGACCAGCCTGAGCAAGAGTGAGACCCCCATCTCTACTAAAAATGAAAAACGGAGGCAAGACGATCACTTGAGCTCGAGAGTTGAGGTTGCTGTGAGCTATGACGTCACAACGCTTGAGTACCACAAAGTGTGACTCTTTCTCAAAAAAAAAAGTCACATTATTCTTTCTTGGTTATGAAAATGATACATTCTCATGGTTGGGCATGGTGGCTCTCACCTGTAATCCACTCTGGGAGGCTGAGGCAGATGGATCACCTGAGTTCAGGAGTTCAGCCTGAGCAAGAATGAGATCCCATCTCTACTTAAAAAAAAAAAAAAAAGAAAAGAAAAACTAGCCGGGCACCTGTAGTCTTAGCTACTCGGGAAGCTGAGGCAAGAGAATTGCTTGAGCACAAGAGTTTGAGGTTTCTGTGAGCTAAGTTGGTGCCATGGCACACTACCCAGGGCAACAGAGTGAGATTCTGTCTCAAAAAAAGAAAGAAGGAAGGGTGGTGCCTGTGGCTCAAAGGAGTAGGGCACAGGCCCCATGAGATGGAGGTGGCAGGTTCAAACCCAGCGCCAGCCGAAAACTGCAAAAAAAAAAAAAAAAAAAAAAAAAAAAAAGGAAGAAAGGAAAATGATACATTCTGAATGAAAAAATATTTGAAACATAAAAGCATCGGAGGAAAACAACAGTTCATAATCTCACCGTTTAGGGATTAATTCTATGTAAACTTTAGGACATTTTCTTTGGTCCTTTTCCCCACATATTTCTATGAATAATACCTTTAAATTTTTGACACTTTTTTGTCTTAAGATTATTTTCAAATAATTAAAACATAGTTAAAAATGTAGATAGTACAAAAGGTAATATGGTAGAAACTAAGTGTCCCTCCCCTCTTGCACTGCCCTCTGGCCATCTAGTTCCCCGATAGAGATGACCTCTCACTGATTTCTTTGGTGGTCTTTCTGCAATGGTCTGTTTCCTTCTCAATACAAACCATAATGGACTGTACATTCTTTTCAGCATCTTGTTTTTTTCACGTAGCAATAGATCTTGAAGATCATCCCTTATCAATAAAGAAGATTTTCTTTCTCCTTTTCTTTGTTTTTGTTTTCTTTTTGGCTGGCTTGGTTGTAGTTCGAGTTATGTCCAAACCCAAACTGATTTGATGTACATTGAGGTTGTTTGCAGCCCTTTGCTGTTACAAACGATGATACCATAAACATCTTGTTTCTTCTTTGACGTATCTAGGACTAACTCCTACAAGTGGAATTATAGTATGTGCATTTTTTACCTAGATAAGATATTGTCAATTCACTCACTATTTTATTATAATTGAGATTAGACTAAACATGAATTTTTTTTTCCTGGTTTTATAAACTTAATATTTTATAGAAATATAATTGTTTTCTTTTATAAATATTTCAATGGCTGCACAATACATAATTTTTTATTTTTACTTGACACAAAATATTTGTACGTATTTATGGGGTGCAGTGGTGTTTCAGTGTATGTGTACACTCTATAACGGTCAAATCAGGGTAATTAGCAAATCATTTAATCGTGGTAAAAACATATGTGCATAATGTATTCTTATGGATAGGTAATAATTCTTCATAGATAGGTAATAATTCATTGTGTAAGTGTACCACCGTTTGTTTATTAGTTTGTTAGTTAATGGATTTGGGTTGTTTCTACTTTTTGGTTATTGTGAATGGTGTTATAGGCATACTTTTAAAACTCCCTTGTTGAGGCTCGGTGCCTGTGGCTCAAGCGGCTAAGGCGCCAGCCACATACACCTAAGGTGGCAGGTTCAAATCCCCAGCCCGGGCCCGCCAAACAACAATGAT